TCATACCATGATCATATAATTATGATGAATAGCATATACATTTTTAAAGAACGCAATGAGATTTTGCGACTATACCACTATGATAACACGGAGAGACTTTTTTTCGACCTTCATGAAATTTCATCTAGCATAATTTTTTTTTAAACCGTTGAAACCTTTGCAACAGTATTCTGTCCCAGTATAGCAGAGCTTTCTTCGGTTGGCAATGTAATTTTACTTTCAAATGGAATTATAAGGTATTTCTCCCGCCATTTTAGCATGCCTTCGTAGTGTAGACGTCGGCACGCTGGGCGCGTATTCCAGAGGTCCGTTGTTCGATTCCCGGTGAGGGTGTTGCTCATTTTTCATCTCTCCGGCTTCCAAAAAATATCTAATGACTCTACAAATTTACTTCCCCTTTGTACCAATTTGTCAGTGCATTCTGTTTACAATTTGATTAGGAAGAAACTTTCGCTCACAGGTATTTCATATTCTGGGGTTGCTTTGTGTGAAAAAAATATCCCCAAAATTAAAATAAATTAGAATGGATACAGAAGAAAAATTTAAATTTAAACAAAACTCCTGCTGAAAATTTCCAGAAATAAACCTAGAATTAATGAAATGTCGGTAATGGTAATACACGATTCTCGTAAAAAATACAATGACAAAATTTTTAATAGAGTTTTATTGTATTTCACGCAATTGTACATTTAGAAACGGTTGTGTAATGTTTGTAATATGTGTTACAAAAAACGAACGTACGATTTTAAAAATTTTAATATTTTACCTTTAACTTATCATCAAAGGCCCATTTTATTTCAACAGTATGTGACAAGCAACGCATTTATAGATTGTTTGTAAAGTAAAATAGTTAATGCGTATGTTACCCTGCTTATTTTAAATTTTACAAAGCTATTTCTTTTGATGGGTTGTAGTTTGGAGACCCCCAACACTGTATGAAAACTTAATCATGTCGTTTTTATTTATTTATTTGTCTCCATCGGAAACGGGTAACAGTCGAGATGAGAAAACAGAATTTTGTGTCGACGCAACCAGCCATCTCTGATATCACATATTGATACTCCACTTACGAAACCCATCTTGAAACTCCAGTTCTCTCTCTGAAATAACAACAAAGTCGCAGAATTTTGTGTACATTCCTTTAATGGATCGTAAAAATTGAAGGACGCTCGCACGCGTGCACTTGAGGATGATTTGCGAGTGTCTTTCCACTTCCATCTTTCAAACGTATAGCTTGCCGACATGATGTATTCATTCCAGATGCGCTTTTCAAGTGCAGGGCAGTCGCTACGCAGCAGAATTCGCAGGCCTTCACAATGGAAAAACACTTAACTGCAACTAGTAAGTGCTAGATGTAAGATTACTAGACAGATCCGGGATTTAGAGTTGCGTCCAGAGTTCTCTCCGGGAATATTAAATGAGACTGATTGCACGTCTGGCATATCATTTCTATTCCTCAACTGTAGTGCAAATGATTTTTAAAAAAATACTGTAGGCGCCGCTTAATGCGATCACGTTTGTCCACGGGTGTTTAATAACATCAATCGATGAGAAAAAATATCCTTCAAAACTTCAGTGGAATTTAACGAATTTTATATAAATGACAATTGATGTTTCCACATAATTTTAGTTATGAAAATACAAAAGAATGAAATTTAAGAACTGTTCATAATGTCTTTAATGAAATTCTTTTTATAAACTTTTAAGGTTTCTGGAATTAATTTGACTAATGCTATTACCCCTAATCTTAATATTCAGAGGGCATCCTTCATTGCAAGAAAACATGCCAGTGTAAAATTTTAAATTAGAGGAAAATGCAACCTTGAGTTGCTGCAAGTATTCCCTCCCCCAAGAGAAAAAAAATCTGCAGAATTTGTTTGTACTTCTGAAGTGGGTTCTTCTGAGGCTTGTGATCCTCCTCAAAATGGATAGCGTTATTCAAAATTTACGTCAAACCAAAGCTACTTTTTTGCTTAATCTATTGAAATTGAAACCAAGATATTTGGCGAATTCGCACCTCAGTTGGCAACATTTCTGTCACCTGACATTATTTTATAATCTATTTTGACCTTATTTGGCGAATTTGTGTTTTATTGGCGACAGTAGTTTAGAATTTATTCTTTAATAATAGGATCATACTAAGCGATTCGGTGATTACAGTTGGCGATGTATTTTCCATGTTTTCATATAAAAACTGGCGGCAAATCTATAACACTATTCGACCATTTCCGACGCCTCTCACTCCCCGATCAGACTGTTCAACGTCTTATGCCCTACTGGGATACTTAGTCAGAGAGCCGGCAACGTTGCGTGCTCTACAGCGACAGCCCGGCATAGGAGTATCTCCCCCCCCTCAAAAAAATATTCGAATCATAACATTAATCGCGATCACATAAAGCGACGTCTACTGTATGAGCAATATTTGATCTTCAGAAAAAATTTTATTACAGGGTATGAACAATAAAGAATATTTAATATTAAAAATGAATTCCAAAGATCCATATCATGATTTATATGAATAGTTAAATTTTGACAAAAGTAATTAAAGCATTAACTAATGAAAATATGCAAAAATGGAATAAAAACAAGAAACCCAACTATCCACATCATCTTTAGAACAGCAAATAATTAAAACTCTTTAATCTTGACGTTCCTTTTCTCAATATAGTTAAAAAAATGTTTGAATAATAGTCTTAGGGAATTTCTGTCTTCCCTACTGCGTACTGTCGTTGCGTAACAAGTATCATGTGCAGTTGGAAATCCGGAGATTTGAAGGTCGACCCCCGACGGAAGCATAACTTCCATGAAGGCAAGCCCTTGGAATAGTTCTCGTGTGCTTTGCTATAGCCTAACTATTCCTAATCCCAAATTATTTTAATTACCGGCATTGCGAAATAGGTATAAGCTTGTTTTCGTTTTTTACCACTGGTCGTCCACGAATGATTTTTAAAATGCCTTTTAAGTAGCCAAAGAAATTAAACGGAATGAATTTTTCATGAACATAAGATTTTGCCCTATTTTAAAAATACCCTTTAAAAAGTCTAATTTAAAAAAATCTTGTTATTATGAAATTTTATTTAGTGTACTCAAAACTCATGATGTTTCACTGTGAGTGGAATTTTGTGAAAGGTTAAAACAGTGACTATTGTCTATTATAGAGCAGTAAAATAACTGCATTGCTTTGAACCCAGTTATTTATGTTTAGATGCATATTATTTCTTTAAATCTAATTCTAATATACAGGCATAGCACTGCATCATCGAGTTTCAACCTACTTCCTGATATTTAGCTATGGACGAGCTACTAAATTCAAATCTTCTACACATACTGCTGTTGGTGCACGACAATTCAATGAGGTGAAGGTATTTTGTGTTTTAAAAATTCCATTTAGACTTTTTTATTTTAATTAATGTTTGATGTTTTTCTCACATATCTTCCTTTATTGAACAAACTAAAAAAATCAAAATTTTAATGTTTCTACCATCAAAATGCGGGGAAAAGTCTTTAAAAAAAGGAAACTTGCACGGAAATTTATAACTTAATTTCTATATTTTTGAGGCATTACTTGATTTTCACACAACTCGTGATAAACTGCCAAATTATTTAAAAACAGTACTTTCGCGAATATCGTTCTTCCTTCCGCGTGACATCGTTCTTCCTTCCAGTTTAAACATTGTAAAATAAATGTTGCAAAATTATGTAAAAAAACGGTTATTTCACTTTCGACTTTTATTTGCCGAATTTAACAAGCCGCCTAATATCGTAATAGTCAAAAAGTGCTGTCAATTTTGAATTTACCGAGTAGTAAGGAAGATGCCATATCGTTTTTCCAGGAAGAAGATATATTATCTCGCAATCCAATATGCGTAAATGGCCACGAAATGGAACTACATGTAAGCGAAAGTATGTGGAGGAGCACCGTAAAAAGTTTTAAATTAAAAAAAAAAAAAAAAAAAGAAAGAAAGAAAGAAAGCTTTCAGGTTTTATATTATATCCAAAGGGGCATTTTTTAACGTTTTGTGTGCTACCTTTATTTATTAAATATCATGTTGTTCGCTCTTTTATCATAAAATTCAATCCAACAGCAATATCGCAAAATATTTAAAAGAGCATATCTTTAGAATTTCCGATACACAGTCTGGCGAGGCTGCAGATAAAAATGTTTTGTTTTCCAGTACAGTGTTGCCATTGTTCGCTTTGAAATCCTTGAGTTTCTTAATCAAAAACTCATAAATGCTTTACAAAATATGATATAGATAGTAAAGCAAATTCCAAATTTGGGTTTCCAGATGCCCATATTCATGTGGAGACGTACGTTATTCAAAATTTGATGGCTCTAGGTACTCTTGTGTTGTCACAATGCGAGAAACATACACGCATTTATTCAGATTCTTCATTATTTAATTTCTTCAAATATAATACAGGGCGATAATATTTGGTAGCAACAGTTTGAAAAGTGAAACGGACATTCAGAGTGATTCGACGCAAAATCGCAAAACGAAAATATAGTCTCTCAGGGACAAAGCCGCTTTGGTCTAAAAAAGAAAAAATAATCTCTTAAATTCTGGCATGGTCTGAAGAAGAAGTTGCAGAGCTATGTTTCTCTTCAACGAATTATGTTCAAGGAATAGTTCACGAGCTGACGAGTTCAAAATGAATTATAAGATTAAAATTTATGTTACTTGGATACACCAAAAGATTAAAAATAATAAAAATAGAAATACATTATCTGCGAAATTCTATTGTGATTCAGATTAGAAGAGAAATCTTAAAATAGTCCACCAGCTGACAAATTCAGAATTTATTACAAATTCTAATTTGTTCATCAAAAGTTAAACTTTTGTAAGAAATATGAGTATAGCTCGCCGGCCGCATAAAAATCATCAACGGTTCCTGGTTTGGCAAGGTCTCGTATACATAATAGAAATTTAAAACGGAAATAAACAAAATAAAACAATTTGATTTCGAATAAGAATATGGATACAGTATTAAAAACTCACCAACAGTTTCAGTGTTTCTATAAGTTCTAAAAAAATCCAGCAGTGGAGTAAATATGCGTGCCTTCCGCGAGAGTTGCAGTTAAAGTAAGTCCGGTAGTATCCAGCAAGTCATTCAAAAATGCACAAGAGAAAAAGTAAAACGTTTTCTTTTCTTTTTTTTCTGTAAGTTCTTAATGGTTTATTGAAACAGAGGCACCTGACAAGTCTTTTTATAGGAGTGCGTTCGCTACCAGAAAAGCATTTCGAGTATATGTTTATCAAAGTGCGTATCAGAAGTGTTTCAAAAACACTTGTGCTTTCGAAATTTTGGTGGCAAATATGAAAAAGGTCGTTTTTTTCCCATATCCCTTTTCATTGTGGTTTAATGTATGATTGTTTTTCTTTCTTGTTTATTTTATTTTATTTATTTTTTTCTTTCTTTGGTAAGTGGTCTGCCGCTCCTTTGATATCACAGAGACTTCACTCGCTTTTCTCTGACGACGGGCGCTAATTGGGAGTTGCAAGAAATGAATGTTTTTCGCTGTTTCGGCGACCATGACTGAATAAATAGGTCCGTGGTTCTCAACCTTCTTTTTGCCCCAGCCACCCCTTTCATCGTTGCTAGATGATTAGTTCCTCCCCTTTCTTTTCTAAACTAAAAAAAAAAAAAAAAAAAAAATACATAAAAATATATTTAATTTTTTTTTTAAATATTTGTCATGTATTAAACAAGAACAAGGTATAGGAAATGTTGATAAATTCCAAAACTTGAACAAAATTTGATTTTTATATTCCTAAACTAAAACTAAATGCTTAACAGGAAAAAAATCTGATGTGGACTCCAGAAGACTTATTGAATTATACAACCTATGGAATTATACACTTTTTAGTCCAAAGGGATTTGAGTCCCGAAGGACTATTAACTTTCGTTTTGGCATTTTGCGTCGGACGGATAAATGTCGGTTCACTTTTCAAACTGTTGCCATAAAATGTTAGAGTCCTGCATTATATTTGAAGAAATTAAATAATGAAAATCTGCGTAAATGTATGTATATTTCTCACATTGTCATAAAATAACGGTACATAGAGTCATCGAATTTTGAATAACGTAATCCTCCAACGAATATGAGCATGTGGAAGACCAAATTTGAAATTTGAAATTTGTTTTATGATCGATTTCCTATTTTTTAAAACTTTGACGAATTTTTGATTAACAAACTCAAGGATTTCAAAGCGAGCAATGGCAACGTTGTGCAGAAAAAACATTTTTATCTCCCAGCGCGTGAGTCTCTGTATCGGAAATTCTAAAGATATGCTCGTTTTAAAACTATTTTTCGATATTGCTGTTGCACTGGATCTTATGGTTTAAGTGCGAGGAACATGATATTTAATAAAGAAAGGTAACACACAAAATGTTAAAAAAACGCCCCTTTGGACGTAATTTAAAATCTGAAACATTTCAGTCAGATTTTTTTTTTTTTTTTTTTTTTTCTGCACTTCATTTAAACTCACTTCTTCAAATCATATTAACTTCAATAAACGATTTTTCCAGGCAAGTTGAGAATGCCATCGGAAATTGCAAATTTTGAAACTGAATGTCTCGGTCAGTTTTTGTCGTACGAGAGTCAAAAGTAAAAGTTAGATTTCATTATTTGTCCAACTTTTTTTTTTTTTTTTTTTTAACTACTGGATATATTTTTTTGACATTTCCAAAACGTTAATATTTTTGTCATTTAAAACACTTTTGTAAGTGCAAATATATGACTAAGAGCAACGATTGCGAAAACATGTGTGTGTGCGTGTGTGTGAATATATATCTACATAAATAGAACAGGCAGGTACCCAACTAAATGTTATAGCAGTCCCATATGTAAAATTTCAACCTTCTATGGCAACTCATTTTTGAGTTGTGAGAGATACGTAGGTACATACGTACAGAGGCTAAAAATAAAGCGTTGAATCCACTTTAAACTCATTTTACGATTCGTTTTGGGAAAAAGAGTTGTCATTTTTCGCGATGACAAAACTTCCCTTACTTCATAAAAGGAAGTAAAAAGGCCGATCTCATTTTCTCGCTGAAACTATTAAATTTCCCCCTTGGAGAATTCCTACTTACTCGAGTACCCCTAATCTATATGAATAAAATACAGCATTAATGAATTCAGTTTCTTGGAGGTACATAAGAAATCATTTCTTCAATCTTCCTTTTATAGCATTTTAATGTACGTATTTTTAAAACATTTTAGCCCGAAAAGGACGTTAATCTCGAATAGGATATTAGTCTCGAAACGACAATGAATCGCTATAAACGTCATATAACTTTTCAGATTGTTGCCACCAAATATCATCGCCTCGCCTTGTATTATATTTAAAGACATTAAACAATGAATAATCTGCATGAATGTATGCATGTTTCTAGCATTGTGTAAAAAAAAGAAAAAAAAAAAAAAGAAACGACCTATAGGCCATCAAATTTTGAATTACGCAATCCTCCTCCGACCATGAGCACCTAGAAGTCCGAATTTTGAATTTCCAATTTGTTTCATTATCTATTTTTTTATTTTGTAAAACTTTATCGAATTTTTAATTTAAAAACGCAAAATTTAAAAACTAGGAGTGGGAACACTGCACGGAAAAAACATTGTTGATCTCCATCGCGCAAGACTTTCTATCCGAAACTCTAAAGATACGCTGTTTTCAAATGTTTTGTGATTTTGCTGTTGAATCGAATTTTATTTGGCGCAAGTGCCAAAAACGTAATATTTAATAAAGTAAACACACAAAATGTCCCTAATAAAAAAAAAGTTTGTAAAGTACGAAAACTAAACACTGATTTGATGAACTGCAGAAATACTGAAAATAAGAAAAAAAGAATATGCCAACAATTAACACTCCATCGGAAATTCTATATGTGTACCGCTATGCTGCGTTTAAAATTTTCGTAATTTTGTTATTAAACTGCATATGGTGTTAGTGCGAAGAAAAGGATGCTTAATAATAAGGCTAAAAAGACAAAAGGAAAGGGTTAGTGAGAATGAGTATAACGGCAGATAAATAGACTGCGAGCTCAGCGAGAGCGTAAAAAATCGTAACAAACCCTTCGGAGCGACCACTAAAATCTGAAACCTTCAAAATATATAAGTGTATAATCCATTAACAGGAATGCTTTCAATTGCGTTTCAAAGAACATGAGTTCATTAATTCTGCATTTTGTTCATGTACAAGAATTCCTATTAATCGAGGTCTCTCATGATGGAGTCGGCTATCTATTTCTAGTATTGAATAATGAAGAATATGTATGTACGTTTGTTATGTTCGTCGCATTGAGGGAAGAGGGCGATATCTACAGCTACCAGATTTTCTGTGCACGTACTCCTCCACCTGAACATCGGCACCACGAAGCAGAATTTTAATTTCGAACGTACTTTTGATTTATTTTATATTTTGTATGAACTGAGTGAATTTTTGATTAATAAATGTAGCGATTTGAAAGCGAATATTGGCAATCTTGTTCGAAATAAAATATGTTTATTTCCAACATGCGATACTATTGCGATTCGGATAAATGTAACATATTAGGTTTTCAATTTTAATCGACAAATTCTTCTATATAAAAGCAATGCGTTGCGACTGTCCAAAATAAAATACTTTTATCCTCCTTGCGCCAAGGTGTCGCAATTCAGAAAGCGTAAGATATTTATTTATCTTTCAGATTTAATCCGTCTGCTGTAGGGTAACAAAGTAAGCGACTGAAAAGCTATAAATGCAGTTCTTAAGAATACATTTCTTCTTTTTAATCTGATCGATTTAAATAAAAATGTGTTTAAATAGAGATATGCGTAATTAGAGATATTAAATAATTTTATGAAATTTGTGCTATAATTGCTCTTGTGCATCGGCGTCATCAACAGCGTGAGAGAATAAAATTGCACTTTTTGGTAACATACCAGCATTACAAGAGTTTTGAAGTTCTGCAAATGAAACATAAAAATCATTCTCTTCTACGGCTTCATATAAATAAATATCGTATCTAGATATAACAGAAATAGCCTTTAACACGTACTCCATATTTTAGATTAAACTCTTACTTTACTGATTCTATACTTTTCCCCGAACATATATTAAGAGAACCTATCAAAGAACCACTTACAGTTTATGATATAATCAAAATTTAGCATGTTGTTCTCACTCATGAATGAATGTTTATGCCTTGTATACGCATATACAATTTTTAAATATCAAATCTGAGAAGTTTTGCATTATATCATTGTTGTCGCTCCTCTGATGTTCAAGAGGAAATTGTGCACAGCTCCCTCTGGTAACTGATTACCGTAAGCTCCCTCTGGTAACTGATTACCGTAGGGAATGATTCAGGTAATGCGTGGGCGGTAGCGAAGTCTGCACGATAGCCACAGGCGTGCATTTACGAATATATGCCATAGCTGCACTGTACAGGATAAGTGCACCTTGATTCTTTAAAGACAGGCATATTGATATTAACTATAAATAAATTTGCAAATTAAATTTTTGAAATTCCGGATTTTATATTTCCTATTTTGTAAAACTGTTTGTTTGTTGAGTTTTTAACAAACTCAACGTTTTGAAAGCGAGCAGTGAACGAATTAAAACATTGTTGTCTCCATTTGCGGCTTTTTTGCGAATTTCTGACTCTCCTTTTGCTACTTTAGTTGAAAACTTTCTGACAACACTGACTAAAAGTATCATTTTTATGGAATTCCTAGAACTGCTTCTGAAGAATCTCAAAAGGAGTATATATGTATTCGAAATTCCTAAAACTACAATTTTCTCCTGAAATTTCTGTAATTAATTTTTTTGTGGAACCTTTAAAACTGTATTTTCTGAGAAACAATTTTCTCTTATGGAATGCCTAAGACTATAACTTTTGTGGAACCTGTAAAATAATTCTTTTGCGAAACCCCTCAAACTTTTTGGAAAAGTGCTAATTATCGTTTTCCATTATGGAATTCTTAAAACGTTAATTTTTGTGATGTCTTTAAAACTACATATAGCCAAGAAATATGTTTTATACGCTTTGTCCCAGAATGCTTTCGGAAAATTCTGGCACGTTAGTTTTTGAGCACTGCAGTGACCGATCCTTTCCTTGGCGACTGACTTGGCGATTGTATCGCAGCAGCAGCAACCCGTGTGTACATCAAACGCACAGTATTTGCATTGTTTTCACATATTCTCTGGCTGCGGCTCTCTAGTTCGCAATCTTAGTAGCCAAGGTGTCTCGGCGCCCTTTTTTATCCAGCGAGATGTGACGAACGA